ATTTTCAAAAAAAAAAAAATTAAAAAAAAAAAGTTTTAAAAAGGTTTTGAAGAATAAGTCTAATGTGCAACACACAGGCTCTACACTAGTTTTATATAAAAAATCAAACACAATAATTCTCTTCAAAATTTGGCTCCATGTTTATTTTGAAATTATTTCACAAAAATTTTGAATTTTTCATGAAAGTTATGTTGAGGTTGTACGAAATTTTGAGGGGAAGGTGAAAGAAATACCAATACTCTTTACTCCACAAGAGAAACAGAAAGTAAGGGAACTACAGAGTAAATGCCTACCTCTCGATAACCATAAAATTGATAAGGAGAGAGAAATGTATTAAAAATGTATTTAAATACTATAATTTAGGAGATAAAGGAGAGAGAAACCTATGTAAAGATAATAAATTCCTTCACAAACGTAATTTTGTTCTTTTCATTAGAACCCACAATCTATATATATATATATATAATTGCTAGTTAAGCAATAAATTTTACCTAATAAATAAAACCTAATAAATTTTACCTATGTGACAAATCATTAATAAAATCTAATAAAGAAAACCTAATAAATTTTATTTATGTGGTATTAACACACCCAATCTCATTAATAAGAAAATATTTCATTACATTTTTCTGGGTTAATTAAGACAAAAATCATTATATTTTATGTTAATTGATTAATAATTATATTTTTTATTGAATAATATAATAATTAATATTAAAATTAGTAATTTTATTTTATACTAAATAATATATGAAAGTTACATAAAATTATATATTACACTAAAATCAATATTTTTTTATATGATGAAGCGGTTGTTTATTAATACATTAATTTTTTTTATGTCATAGTAAAATTTCTTAAAATCACATAAGCAATTGTTATAATAAATGTAATATTTTTCAGCTAATTAATTGGTCATGATCACTCAAAATTATAAAAAGTATATATTTATTACATTTTATGCAATCAATATAGTGATTCGTATACAATCAAATCGTGTGTACTATATATTTTAACCAATGATTAAATTTTAAAATATAATACTATTATATAATTTATAATTTTAATATTATATGCATAAATATAACTTATAATACTATATATTTGAAATATAATACAATTATATAACTTATAATTTTTATATTATATACATAAATATAACTTATAATATTTAATTTTTTTTATATCTGTGCAAATGCACAGAGTCGAATACTAGTTATTTCTGAACGGAGGGGGTATATTGCTTCAATATTCAAATTCTAACATAGATAAACGGCATTGCTTATTTCATATTGTGCTTCAATTTTCAAATCCTAACATAGATAAACGGCATTGCCTAATGTATGCAGTATGATGCCCCTAACAATAATAATATAATAGAATAGGAAAGAAAATTGAACCTGCTCGTGACAATAAAAGTTCTCATTCTGGAATATGTGTCCGGAACGAGTTCTGAGCTGTGAAACTTCATCACCCAATGATGGCATTCTTTAAAAAGCTTATTTACTTTTTGAAAGTGTAATATATTATTCTCTTTTACTTTTTTTTTTTCCAAATATTATTCTCTTTTACTAGAACACAACAGTTGTTGTACAAATTAATTTATTTAAATAATGATGGAAAAAGTGACCACCCTTTTTATTAGCAGAGAAAATAGTTATTTCCACTTTAATATAATAAATATAGTATGAGGAATAAAAATATATTAACTTTTTTCACACTACCAATTAATAATAATTATTTCACTCTAACTAGTGATAAATAATTATGTGATATATTATGTGACAGACATGCGACGATAATTGAATAAGTGTGATCCTATTATTCGATAAATTATGCAACAGATAGACAACGAATATGCAGAGATTTGATAATCGCGGTTTATCGTATTTTAACCACAGGGCAGTTTATCTTACATAATTATTCTTGTATGCAAATGAACATTCATCATTTATGCAAATAAAAAGCACAAAATAAGTTTTGAAAGATTCTTGTTATGTGAGTAAACTAATAAATTGAAGACCCTTATTGCCATTAATAAATAAAAAGTCTGGAATAAAAATATTTTTTTTCTCATTTCATTATTATTTAATAATATTACATAAAGAAAGATATTAAATAAAAAAAAATCTACGTCATAAAGAAGGAACTGACTTTTCACGTCCATCCCTATAAAAACAACTTCAAGCATGTCAGTGTCGACACGTTTGAAGAGAATGGTGTCTGTCGTGGATGAAGGTACGTCATCCCCTCTAAAAAATAACACTGCCCAAGCTAACAGCAGAGACGACTCTTCAGATAGACCTCGACTGTTTTCGAGCTGACACTCCGTTATGATCTTAATTTGATCGAAAATAGGCATCAGTCTCACGAGGAAGAACATGCATTTGAAAATAAGTTGATGCAAATATTTATTCTAACTCAAATCAATACATGAATAATCCCCTCTTAATATAATTTCAAAACGTGCTGAGCCTAAATGGCTGCCTTGCACGCTTCGGAAGCTTATTTGGCAACATTACATGCTTTGGATTTTGGTTCGGATATATTCCCTAATTGTTTAAAAATAAAATACTTAATAATTTTTGCTTAATCCGATCTCATTTAATCCCCTGTTAATATAATTTCAAAACGTGCTGAGCCTAAATGGCTGCCTCGCACGCTTCGGAAACTTACTTGGCAACATTACATGCTTTGGCTTTTGGTTCGGATATATTCCCTAATTGTTTAAAATAAAATACTTCATAAATAGGATTTTTGTTTAATCCGATCCCCTCCAATTCCAAAATAAATAGAATTCTTATATGCCGTGTAAATAGGATTTTTACCAAAATAAAAAATAAATAGGATATTTTTGCTTAATATTATAATAAAAAAAATTACACATAATTCACGAAATACCAAAAGAAAAAATTTAGCTTTATATATTATTTAATTTATATAATTAATGTAATCAATAACTTTTTATATAGTTTTAATTAAAAAAAATACTATAGTTTTACAAAAATAAATTGGACACATACATAACTGCATATTATATCTTTTCAATCCAACCATGGTAAATAAATTCTTTAAATATTTTTAGAATATCTATAAAATTACATTGAAATATTTATAGAATATTACATGATCTTTGGCAACATTACATATTATATTTATTATTATATTAAATGAATAAAGTTTAGTTGTTCTCTACATTATTTAAAAGTTCATAACTTTTGTATTTTTTTATCGGTTTTACATATATAATATATCAAATTAATCATCTTTTGATGAGCTTCGATTTGACATCTATATTTTATATATAAAATAAATAAATTATATTTATCTTTATAATAATTATTAATTTATTTATTAAAATTCATTAGAAAAATAAAATTATTTTTCAATTAATATATTTATGTTTAATGTAGTTATGTTATAAGTTAGAAAAATTATTATAATATAACACAGGTAAGTTGCACAAGTAACAAGTGTCATACTAAAATATATAATAATATATATTTTTTTATAAAAAAATATTTAAATTTTCAACCACTTTTTCTCATTAATTGTAAATTTTAAGAAAAAAAAATTTTAGCAAGCACCCGTGTAATACACGGGTGTCGTATTAGTCCACTATTAAAACAAAATAATATCATTTTTACCATTATTGGGATGCGGAGTTACACAATCCTGACCATGAAATGCATTTTCACTTTTTTTTGTACTACAGATAGTGATAGGGATGCGGATGTGGATGAAACTATTTGGACTTTATTTATGTAGTATTTATATTGATAACTAATGTTTCAAGTTGTTTCATAATCATTACTTCATCATCAATGAGCATGATTGCAGAAACGACTGTTCGAATGACGTGTTTGCCTCAAAAAATGCCAATAATTATGCGACTCATATGCGACGGCAATGCTACACATTGCTGGTCCATATATCTCAGTGAATTCGCAGACCCTTTTTGGTGGAAAATATTTATTATTATTATTAAAAAAAATTAATTGGTTAGACTCGAAAAAGGCAATTCTATATATGACTTTTTGGCGAAGGATATGTGTATACTCGCAGGTCAACCGTACGTTATACGCACATTTTGTGCAAAACTTTTATTATTGTTATTATAAACGTGTCATAATAAATTGCAGAGTATCCCCCGAGTGATTTCCATAAACTCCCTCGTATATTTCCTTCATTACGCGTGCTGATTCTTATTCGCTTAAGCACTTCAACAGGGGTGTCGAGTGCTCGCCCTTGTATAGCTCGTCTGCTACGATTGTGAACCGGGCTTCTCAGGTGCATAGCTGTCTGGCCTCTTTAAGGTTAGATGGCAACGTGCCGACCTCAAGATAAGCTCTAATGGGATGCACCCATCCAAGGTCATCCGCCTGAGTTGTCAACCCGACTGTCAGCAATTGGCTACCGGCCATAGCCACCTGTTCTTTATGTCCGACCTGGACATATTCTAAATTCTCCATGCCTGCATTTGAAGCTAGACGGGTGAGGGCATCCACTTGTTGGTTCTCTGACTTGGGGATATGTTCCATTCAAACATGGAACTTGTCCATTTTGTTCTTTACGAGGCCTAGATAGGGGTCTAGCCTCAGATCCTTGATGTCGAACTCCCCATAAATTTGTTTTACCATCACTATCGAGTCAGAGCACATGACCAGTTAATTCAACGCCCGGACATAAATGTTTCATACTCGGCTTCGTTGTTTATTGCTGCAAATAGGGTATCAGACCGAGAGGCGAAAGAACCTTTTTTAGGGATCGACGAGGACAACCCCCTCCACCAGCTCTTGTGAAGAAATCTTCCACATACATCACCCAAGGCTTAATGTTTCTTACCTCTTCGAACCTCGGCGTAAATTCCACGTTGAAATCAAAGAGGACTTGGCTCTTGATTGTCGTCCTAGGCTGGAAATGAATGTCTAACTGTCCCAGCTCGACTACTCTCTCTCTCTCTCACACACACACACAAATAAAGTAACACCACATTGAAGTATTGCAATAATATCACTCAATTACTGAACTTAATCATTCATGAGTTGGAATAAATAATATTAACAAGAAATTCAACCAGTACGATCTGCCAAATTGATATCAACACAAAAATAACCCTAAATGCCTGTCAGAACTCAGAACATTTCAGAAGTGAAATTGCATTTTCCTTATGGCCACAAAAGAGTATATCTGGATTTCAAGTCCGTCAAGTGCCACGATTGGGTGCCCCAGTAGCTATTGGCGGACCGTAAGAGTATCTCCAAGTTCCACATGCGCTGCATTTATCCATCTTCACATCATTCTCTAAGGTACAAAATCGACATGACCAAATCGATTTTTTCAGGTTATCGTCTTTGGGCCTTTCTGTTGTGCATGCCTCACATACTGGAGCTAACGGCTGCAATTATAAGAAATCATGTCATCAGTTACACAGGAATTGCAGCATGCAGTGACTTCACTAGATATATCAATTTACCATATGCTACAATCAATGGGGATCTACTCAGCAAAACCAGCATAAAAGAACACGAAAAGATATGCCAAACCCATAACATTTCATAGCCATTTACCACCAAACTCAAGCGACATTTGCACGGTTCAGAAGGAACAATTAACGTAAACATTCACCCATCAACATCAAAAACCGCACCTAAAGGGTAGCAGGGATAAACATATGAATAGAAGAGA